TCATGTATGGTGGAGCAAATTAGGTGCACACATTATGTGTTACTCAATCTACACTGTAGCATGCCTGCTTGTAAATGTGCTTGTATGATTATCTGCTTATCCAGAAGTTAAATCCTGAGAACAGGCAGATATCGAGATTGGTAGTGGCGTTCCAGATATAAGGACATCAGGGAATATTAATGAAGCATTGATAGAAGCTGGATTTGAGGTAATAACCATGATATGGTTACCACTTCCACAATAATATATCACCAATGTCTCCATGTTCTTGATTTGGCAAAAATATCCCAAGTATTTGCAATAAAAATAAATGGCTAGTATCTTACAAAAGTTTTTTTTATTTTAGCTACTCTGAAAACTCGGATATAAGATATAATTTTTTTTTATAAATGAGTTTTTCTTACATTTTATATTTCAAATTTTTTTCTTTATAATTTTTGCTTTCAATACAAATGAAGATGCAAATTTATATAAGATATGGGCCTATGCAGAGGGAATGCTTTTCTTGCTACTGACTCAGCTATAAGTTAAGGTTCGCGACCAATTAATGATAATCCAATCTTGAGATGCGGATATGTATCGCAGTGCTAATTACCATTTGATCTTGATATCTCAACGCTTGGTAGGATCCAACAATTATGGACTTGTAGGCAAACTTTCCCCATGATTATTCTCCCTATACAAAATAAGACAAAAATGTGTTTTTCTAAGACTCAAATGAGAATATAGAAGGCTTGGTTATTGTTTTGATGGGTGCTTCTATTTTTCAGGTTTTGTGGCAGAAGGATGTGGCAGCTGGTTCACCTGTACCTTGGTACCTGCCCTTGGACAATAGTACCTTTTCGTTCAGCAGCTTTCGTGCAGCCGCACCCGGTCGATTTGTCACGCACTAGTTGGTATGTGAAAATGAAATATTAATAAATTCCCTCTGAAAATGACTGAAAATTCAAATTTTGTTGGAGATTACCAGTCCTCTCTCAGATTAAACTATGCTGACAAGCCCCTCTCTCTCACATTGTCTCGCGAACACAAGCGCACGCATGCAAATGCATCACTCGTTATGCTTTTATTACTTAGACTGATGGCTTAACTTTGACTTTTCACAATGGGTAAATTACCTTAATAAGAGCTCTTTCACATAATTTCAAGGGACTTTGGTTGTAGATGTAGGCGCACTCATAATTAATACTATAGCACTTGTTTATCTCATGCATGGATATAATGGTTTTTTTTTTGCTTTTTTGTTTTGCAGGAAATTATAGGTATTATAGTGTCCTTTTCCCTTTTTCAGAAGATTCTTTCCCATAATATCAAACTATGAAATTTTAAAGTGGTTTTTTGTGGATTTCTAAATTACAATGCATACCTTATTTAATATTATTAAAAAAGCCATTGTTAAGTAACTATTAAGCATGTACTTGTATTTATGATTAAATTTTGCATGGTAGAGTCCATTAGAGTATTGCATGTTAGAATAAATTTATATATTTGCAGTGCTTGGTTGTTGAAGTTCCTTGTAAATTCAACAATTAAATAGTAACAAACTCCTTTTGCCAGATGTGAACTATAGATGGTTGGGGAGGCGGCATCATTCCTCCATTCAAAAGTCTATTGAAATTTTTGATAGGCTTTGAGTGGAGGAACGATGCCCGCCGATTTTGGACATTTTTTTATCTTTGTAGACTTTTTGTTTTTTGCTGGAATCAAACCTGTACTATATAGTATATACTGTTTTTTTTGTTCAAAAAACTATATACTTTTTTTTTTTTATGTGGTTAGCCTTTTAAATTGATGAAGAAGAGAAATACTATATACTGTTTATCCTTTTCTTTTAAAGTATACCTTTTCCTTTTTCAGAAGATTTCCAAATTACAATCTACACCCCATTTTAAAATTTAAAACAAGCCATTCTTAGATAAATCATAGGTTTGTACTTTGTAATTTATGATTATATTTTGCATGGCAGAATCCATTAGAGTGTTGCATGTTATAGACTAAATTTTAAGCTTCACAGTGCGTGGTTGTTGAAGTCCTTGCCTATTCAGCAATTAATAAGTAACAAACTCGTGCGTGATTTAGGTGAAATTTCTAGAGTATATTCATATTGCACCTGAAGGAAGTCACAAAGTGTCATCCTTCTTGGAGACGGCAGCAAAAGGGCTTGTTCAAGGTGGAAAGTAAGTAACATCAAAATTCCCATATTCTTCCAACCATGATATCTGTTCTCGACTGTATACTATACTCCCACAGGAGTATTACTGTGCATCTACTCCGTCACTCAAAACATCTACTCAGGAGGATTTCTTCCGTCTTAAATTTTGGGAACCAAATTAGCATCACTATATGACTTTTGAGTTTCAAACACTTGGATCTTGCCCTTCAAAAAATGAACGACCTATGTTAAATCTTGAGTTTTTTTTTTTTTCCTGCTAGTATTTAGAGAGCTTTGGATTTTTTTTTTAACTGAGATTAGTGTATATATTGTAGAGGCCACCTTCGCAAAACTAGGTGTGCTGAAATTACTCCTGTAGTCATTGCCCAAGGGAGTAAATGGATAATACGCTCCTGCAGGAGTATAAAATCTTTTAGGTTCTGGATATGAAGACATGATGGTTCGGAAGTTAAGCGTGTTCTGGCGGGTCCACCAAAAATGGTGCTCAACACATCTGAAAGACCAGGGCACCCAAAATTGTTTCACGACCCATATTTGACTCAGTTGATATTAAGCTCCAAAAAACCTCCACATCCATTGATCTATTGAATTGAACGCTCCATATTTAATATTAAAACCACAGTAGGTTTTGAGGCATTTGTGCGGCTCCAAATATTTCATCAATCCATTAGGGAAAAAGTTAATGTAAGGTTGCAGCCTGCAACTTCAAAAAAAAATCTATATAAGATTGTGGCCACACAATGTAGAATTAAAGATCCACCTTAAAAATCCATTGGAAAAGTTGTTTTAATGTGCAAGAACCTTCTAATTGATTAACTTGACATCGAGATGCATGAATATGACAAAAGAAGATTTTGAGTCTCAGAAATAGTACATTTTGCAGCAGTTTATCTAGACGGTCTATTTTCTAGATTTTCAT